CTGTATCTGCTTGGGCAGCTAGGAAGAGTGAATCGAATTTCTATTCAAGGTCGCGCTTCCTTGGCACTAGTTACTCCCTCCATTGTTTTGGCACATGACACCATCACTCCACAGCCTGCCACACTCCATTTTCTGTCCCCAGGACCGCTCTGGCCAAGCTGACCAAAGGCCTCCAGATGCCAAACGTAATGGCTACCCAACAGCTCAAAGGTATTGAATACAGGTCCCCTGGCCCTCTTCCCTGAGCTTCCTGTTACACTAATCACCAACCTCTGTCGGTCTCTTCTCTGCCTGTCACAACATGCAAACTACTGAGTGTGTGCCCAGATCTGCTCTTCTCTTTCTAGATCCTCTCAGTGGGTTCATCTGCGGTAAAGGCTTCAGGACAGCCTCATGCCTACGACTCCCAATCGCTCTTCTGAGCTTCAGTCCCTGCGGCCTGCTGGCTCTCTCTGCACCACCTAAAATGCAATAAACCAAAATGAAAACGCTCTCTGTTCCTCAGCCCCCAAGCTCCTCTGTCCCCACATTGCGGGCACTGAGGCCTCAGTCTGCCCTGCTGAGCTCTGCGGCATGTGGCGACCATGCTCGCGCCTCACTCCCTCCTGCTCGTCCAGTCCTTCCTTCTGCTCATTTCACTTCCGGCTTGTCTGCAGAATCTCCGGTGCTCCCCCTCACCCCCGGTGCCACCCTATCCTATGCACATCATTTTCTCCTCTGGATTACTCTCCTCAGATTCACCCTTGCTTCCCTCCATCCACACTGATCTTTTCCACGGGAACATTTCATCTTGTCCAAAACCACCCAATGGCTTCTCATTGTTTTCAGCATAAATTCCGAAATCCTTAACAGGTCTACAACACTCTGAATGACATCTTTCCTCTCTCTTTCTCTGTTTTTGGTGCTGCTCTGTCACCACCTTCTCTCTCTTCTAGTTTTGCTCTACGGCACTTTTGACAGCTGAGAGTCAGAGAAAGAGAGGGAAAGTGAGAAATCACCCCCACCAGGGGGATGGCCATACCACAATCCCTTCTCTTCCATTCTCCTTTCAAGATTTTGGGCATGCATGTACAGGACTCGAACTATGCAGTTGGCATGTGGGACTCAGCCACAATAACCACCATCCTGCCTGCTGGCCTCACCACCATCTCTTGAAAGGTGTTGAACAGAGCCAGTAATGAAGAATAATTCAGGAAGTCATTCTTAAAATATGCATGTTGTAACAAAAAACAAACTCCTACAAATATTTCAAATCAAATGGCTTTTGTTTGAAAAAAAATTTTTTTGCCATCTTTTTTTTTTTTTTTTTTTTGTGTGTGTGCGTGTCCAAGATCCTGAGAGGGGAATGGAGGAGAAGGAATTTTTTTTTTTCTATAGGGCACATGTACCCACTGGAGACTAGAGAGACAGAAAGTGAGAAATCACCCCCTCGGGGAGGATGGCCACACTACAATCCCTTCTCCTCCATTCTCCTCTTGGGATTTTAGGCACACATGCACCCATGCCTGACGTGTGTTTCAAGTCTTCAGGTCCTACCTGAAACGCAGTTGGCCATGAGGGAGCTTAGCAATGCAATCATTTATGCCATCTGCCAATTTTAATACAGAAGTTTACTAAATCTGTTCATTTGTTCTTTAAGATAGTTTTTTAAAGATATATCTTAATAAGATAAAAAATACTTTATGTTAAACTTTCCAATTAGATTTCATATAAATATTAGACATGTAGGTAAGAATTATTTGTTTTACTTGCTTTTTTTAAAAATTTGCCAGAGGGCCAGTGCATTGGCCAGAGAGAGAAAGAGAGAGAGAGAGAGAAGAAGAAAGCACCCTTTTCCCAAAAGGAGTGTGGTCACACTAGAATCCCTTCTCCTTGATTTCTGCATCTCGTAGGGATTTGGGGGCATGTGCACACACGTGGCTGTGTGCTTTTCAAACCCTACCCTTAGCTGGCCATGGAGGACCCAGCTCCCTTAACCCCAGGCCATGGGCCAGCCCTGTTTATAACGTAAAGCTGGCGCTTGTTACATTTATCAAAAGTAGTTTTGAAATTTCTTTTGTTACCAAGAAGCTACAAAGAGTAAGTCATATAAGCACTGAAAGCCTGTTTCTATTTATCAGAGGAAGAAGTCACTTCACTTCCTCGAAGCTCCCAAAGTGTTTTCAGCCAGGGGGTCCCAGGATTTCTTACGCCACTTAAAAAATTAAGAGGGCCTCCGGACAAGAGAATCCACATTGTCTTTGTATTTTTTAAGAGAGATTTTTGTGATAGGATGCATGTACTCGCTGAAGAGAGAGAGAAAGAGACAGACAGACAGAAAGTGAGAAATCTCCCACGGTGGAATGGCCATGCCGCAATCCCTTCTCCTCCATTCACCTCTCAGGACTTCGGGCAGAGTTTTAAGTCACTGGGTCTGGGACTCGAACTATGGCCAACTACATGGGAGTCCAGCGACATATCATTACACCATCAGGTGTCTTGAGAATCCACATTTTCATTTTGCCAAGTGGAGACGTTAAAGCAAAGCAAATTCTCTCCCACGGAACCTCTCCCTTTGACATTATTTTATTTTTAAAAAGAACACCAGATTCCATAACCATGCTCCTACTGGGCTGGACTCAGGGATGTCTTCAGACACGAACCTGGAGCCTTCCCATGGGGGTCAGCCTGGTGGAGCATCCTGGCCCTGGCCAGGTTATTTCAGTTTTCCTCTTGGACACAAACCACCTCACAGAGTACTTAGCTCAGACGAGTTACCCCGAGACATGCAAGGACAGGACAGTCCAAGGCCCCTTCGTGATGTCAAAAACAAGAGCGCAGCACCGTCCACGACAGTGCAAGCACCTCTTTCTCTTGCAAAATGAATGTCTGTTACTTCCCTACTCAGTCATAGAACTGCCCCACTTTCTAGAAGCCTCTAACCTAGGGCAAGCTCCTGATTCCCCAGACCTCCCCTCAAATCACACAGCCAACATCCAAACTCAAAAATGGGCTTTTTTCACCCACAGCTGCCCAGCGTGCACACCCCTTCACCTCGAGAATGCTTAATTGAGTCTGTGCAACAACCAGTGTGTTGCTGGAGGTCTCTGGAGGAAGGCATTGACGGTATCTAAGTATTAAGTTCTTTTAAAATTCACACAATCCCGGGACCAGCAGTTAGCATAATGGCTATGTCGCTGGACTCCCACATAGTCAACTGCGGTTCGAGTCCCGGACCTGGTGGCTTAAACTCACGCCGGGCGCGTGTGCGTGCGTGCCCAAGATCCCGAGAGGAAAATGGAGGAGAAGGGATTGCGGCGTGGCCATCCTCCCTGGGGGGTGATTTCTCGCTTTCTATCTCTCCGTCTCTCTCTGTCTGTCTGGCGAGCGCACGCTCGATCACACGATCCCCACCACTCTCAAGCAAATGAATCCCCTGCCCACACTAAAGCGATGAAGTGTGTTTCTCTATGACCTGTTTCGGTCTTCGTCCACGTGGACATACTGTGTGTATTCTTTTTTTTTTTTTTTTTTTTGAGAGGTTTTCACTATAGGGCGCGTGCGCTCACCAGACAGACAGACATAGAGACAGAAAGCAAGAAATCACCCTCCAGGGAGGATGGTCACACCGCAATCCCTTCTCCTCCATTCTCCTCTCGGGATCTTGGGCACACACACACATGCGCCCAGCGTGAGTTTTAAGCCACCGAGTCCGGGACACGAACCACGGTCGACTACGTGGGAGTCCAGCGACATAGCCATTATGCTAACTGCTGGTTCCCCTGTGTGTATTCTTTTAATTGCAAGAGGGTGCCTGTGTGCATCAGAGACAGAGACAAGGAGAGAAGGAGAAGGAGAGGGAGAGGGAGAGGGAGAAAGCAACCCCCAAAGGGATGTGGTCATGCCACAAACCCTGCTCTCCTTCTGCACTGTCAGGATGCCCGGTGTGCGTGCACACGCACCCGGCGTGTTTTTCAAGTCACGAGACGGGACTGTAGCAAGGGTGGCCATGTGGGATCCGCCTCCCTTAACCATTAGGCTGAGAGGCCAGCGGCCATACTGTGTGCTTTTATATTACTGAAATCACCGCAGTTTCCACTCTGCTTTTGGCTTCATACTACCTCACCCTGAGTTTATTCTTCAAGCATTTCTCCTTCTTTACAGGAATAAAAGTAAAATCCAGGAACGTACATCTTGCTCCCACTTCCAATACCCAACCTGAACTGGCCAACACCACCCGGGTACGGCCTCAGGGGCACCAGGTTTCTGCCTACCTGCTAGCAAAGGAAAACGCGCTCTGATTGCTTTAAAAGGGGTGAATTACGAAAGGGCAGACTGGGCGACAAGGGCAGAGCAGAGCTTCTGTAAACAAGAGCGTGACTTCTGGGCTGACTTTTCTCGCTCTAGACCTACTTCCTCTTTCATAAAACGAGAGTCACTCTGGCCACTCACTGTCCCTTGCAGTCTGTAATCCTGTGACTTCCTTGTGGGAAAGAGCCACCAGACGGGCGGTCCCCTGGCTGTGGAGCAAAAGGCACCGCCGGCAAGGCGAGGCCCTCGGGGATCTCACGCCCTGGGTCGGGACTCAGCCTTTCCAGGCGCTGAGCAACCTGCCAGATTCCTGCGCAGAAACTTCAGGACAAAGCATCTGGCCGCCAGCACAGGACACCAAAGTCACCGAGCAGTCTGTCGCTTGATGAATGCACACAATTCGACAGAAACGTTTTAACAGTTCAGGACGCGACAGCCTGCAACTGGTGGTTCCAGTGCAAACGCTCCAGCGGGCGCCAAGTGCAAATCACACCCCGCTAATCTGCACAGCCCAGGACTGCCCTGGAAGCTGTTCTAATTTCAGCTCCTGCGAATCCATCCGGGACAGCAATCACCAGCCCGCTCTGCACCCACCCCTCTGCGCGCGCAACCACAGATCCCGGTGAAGATGCCTTCCCGGGCTAGTTGCGCCCGGCGCTGCCCTCTCCTGCACCTGCGCCCGCATCCGCCCCGCATTCGAGCTCACCCACCGGCGGCGCGTGCTGCGCCACGGAGCCCGTGACTGCCGCCACCACAAGGACCACGGTGATGAGGCGACTCTGGGCCAGCATCTTTCCAGCCGCCAACGCCGCTCAAGCCGCCGGGGGCAACTCCTGGGTGCAGAGCAGGCCGCGCCCCGGCTGCCGCGTGACCACGACCCGGGACCGCACCACCTGCTGGGACAAGGGGAGCGCGCGGAGGGCACCAGGCGGGAAGGGGAGCACGGGGTTTCTCAGGGTCCAGGAGAGGGCGACCGGAGGAGGCAGCCTTTGGAGACCGGAGGAGGAGCCGGAGAGTGGGAGTGGCGTCTGCGTCCGGAACTTGACCGTGCTCGCTGTCCCTCCCCACCCGGGCAGTGGTTGGACCGAGCCGGAGCCCCGCCCCGGTGGGTAGAGCTGGGCGGTTTCTGCCCTGAATCCTACCCGGATTGCGCGGGGGGAGAGTGCGGGAACCTCCTGCCGGCCTGGTGCCGCGGGCCAAGGGTCCCCAGACCGACCTGGACCACGCCCACGAGACGGAATCAGAGTCTCAAAATGCAATGTGACCCGCATCTCTGTCCCTGCGAAGAGCTGGCCTGAAATGAGTCGGGGTGACCCTGGGGTCACTGGGCAGCGCGCAGTCGTCGGGGCCGGGGAGAGGGATCCAAGGAGAAGTTCCAGGCTGTGAATTACCCCTCTGGGCTGTCACGGCAGAGCTGGCAGATCAGAGTTCAGGCTTCGGTTTCGTGCGCGTAGACAGGTGGAAGGGTCAGGCGGCCGAGTGTGCCTTCCGCGATGCAGCCGGGCTGGCCTGGCGAGCCGAGCCGAGCCTAGCCAGCCCTGAGCTGCAGAGAGACTGCCCGGCAGCCTGCTCTGAACCACAGGTCGGCAGAAGTGCTTGCTTGGTTTTCGTGCCATCGCAGACACGGTGACCTCGGGAGGGTGACAACAGGAAACCCTACCCTCTGGGTTGCACTTTCTGGTTGAGCCTCTCTGACATCCCAAGCAGCATTTTTTAAAAGGCTTCAATTAAACTCAGCACACTGCCGCGGACATCGTGCATTCCCTCCATCGCGTGTGCGCGAAGAAGCACAGTTTAACCTCCGCCTGACTTCCTCAGTGAGTTGCAACCGCTCTCTTGTTGGAAGTTGGGAAGTGAAAATTAATAGATGCGTTTCCGCTGCTGCTGTTTTTATTTTCCCCTGGATTTGTCTGGTGTGGGAACAGGTTGGAGACTGTTGCTCTCTTTAAGGAGGAAGCTTGACTTTTGAAATAGAGCACATGATTAAAGCACATTTGGGTTCCTGCTTTCACAATAAGCAAGCAAGTCATAAAAATAGTCACTATTTGCTTCAAAAAAACCCTTTACTGTGGACTTACAGTGTGCCAAGCATTTCTTCTGTCACCCGGGATTAGCAACAAGAGACAAGAAGTTCCCCTGTGCGCTGTACACTACGAGACGGGCAACGGGCTTTGGACGTGAGACCGGGAGTTTTGCAGGGCGTCAGGCAATCAGTGCTACGGAAAACAAGCAGGGCGAACTAGATCAAGAGAATAGAGTGAGAGGGGAGTTGCAGTTTTAAGTAAGAGGCAGGAGAGACGTTATTGGGAAGGTGAAGTGTGAGCAGACTTTTGAAAGAGTGGAGGGGCTTAGCCTGAGGACGCCTAGGAAAGAGCATACCGACAGAGGGGTCATGGCGCCGAGGCCTGGAGTGAGACTCCACCAGGCACTAGGGCTACAGCAAGGAGCCAGTGTAGCTGGGGCAGGAGGAACAAAACCAGCAGTTGGTCTAGTGGCTATGTCGCTGGACTCCCATGTAATCGACCACAGTTCGAGTCCTGGACCTGGTGGCTTAAACTCAGGCCAGGTGCGTGTGCGTGCATGCCCAAGATCCCTAGAGGAGAATGGAGAAGAAGGGATTGGCATGGCCATCGCTCCTGGGCAGGGGGGTTGGGGGGGTCTTGCTTTCTGTCTCTCTGTCTCTGTCTTTCTGGCTGTGTACCCTATAGCGAAAAAATAAAATAAAATAAAATAAATTCAAGGAAGTCAGAAAGAAAAGTTGGTGTGGAAGCTGAGCCCGGGATCCCACAGAGCCAACAGGTGGTGTGGAGGTTAAGATTGCCATCTCACATGGCCAGCTTTGAGTCCGAACCTGGTGACCTGAGAGTCATGCCAGGCATGTGTCCAAAATCCCAAAGGGAGAGTAGAGGATGAGGGATTGTGGTGTGGTCATCCTGGGGGCTAATTTCTCACTTTCTCCCTCTCTCTCTCTCTCTGATGAGCCCACACCACCTACAATAACAACAGCAACAATTAAAAAAAAAAAAAGAAATGAAGACAGAGAAGTAAGGAGTGGAGGGCGTGTAGGACAGGAAGAGGCGTAAGAACCTGGGCTTTACTCTGGAAAATGAGTTGGGTACACATGATTGATGTTGAATATGTTGAGTGTTGAACATGAGGAGCCTTAAAAAGTTCATGAGGAGCCAGCAGGGGGTGGTGGTGGTGGTGGTTGAGGTGCTGGACTCTCATATGGCCAACAGTGGTTCAAGTCCTTGACCTGGCAGCTTGCTTTCTCATTCTTCCTATCTCTATCTCGCTGATTAAATGAAAATAAATGAATAAATACTTCTTTTTTAAAGAAAAGTTTATAAAAATGTGCACTACGAAGAAAACTAAACGATGGTAGAAGTTTTGTACCAAAATAAACTCATACTTTGCATGAATTTTTTTTTCACAAATGTTTTGAAGTCCTCTTGAATTATTTTGGCACTTAAAGTTTGCCATAAGTAAAGGACAGCTACTTTTAGTGACTACTGCCAAAAGAAATAGCTATTTGAGTTTAAGATCACTTTGGGACCAGCAGATGGCATAGCAGTTATGTCACTTAGACTCCCATGTAGTTGACTGCAGTTCGATTCCCGAACCCAGCAGCTTGAAACATGCCAGGCACGAATGCCCAAGATCCCAAGAGGAAAATGGAGGAGAAGGGATTGCAGTGTGGCCATCCCCCCGGGGAGTGATTTCTCACTTTCTGTCTCTATCTTTCTGGCAAGTACACATGCCCTATACCAAAAATCTCTATTAAAGAGATCAGACGCATTAAAATTTTTTAAAATTTAAATTCAAAATAAAATTATGCTATTTTCTGCATATCTTTTTTCTTATACACACATCTTATTTTTCTTTTTTTTAAGCCAACTCCATTATTCAATACTAGAAATGTACAGAAAGTCAAGATGATATATATGGCTATAAAAAACTTGCCAAATCGTTTTGGGTAGATTGAGTTACACAAAGAAAACGATACTTGGGACCAGCAGTTAGTGTAATGGTTATGTCACTGGACTCCCATGTGGTCATCCGCAGTTTGAGTCCCAGATCTGGTGGCTTAAAACTCACGCCAGGCACATGTGTGTGTATGCCCAAGATCCCGAGAGGAGAATGGAGGAGAAGGGATTGAGGCATGGCCATCCCCCCAGGGGGTGATTTCTCGCTTTCTCTCTCTGTCTCTCTGTCTCTCTGTCTCTCTGTCTCTGTCTGGTGAGCGCATGCACCCTATAGCAAAAACTTCTCCAAAAAAAAAAAAAAAAGAAAGAAAGAAAATGATACTTAAGTGTACAAATGAATGATTATGTCCAGATAAAGAGTGATTTATAGACTGCACAGAATTATCAAGTTTGAGGCTTGGATAACCTGTTCAGTATGCAAGAGTCAGCATAAGTAATCAAATTGTTTATTGGAATAGCTGAAGTTCCTAGCAAGCTGTGGACTTCTAATCTCTTACCTAACATTCCTAGTTCCTGAGGTGCAGCCTTGATTTAAAATCATTGCAGCCTAACCGCCCCACCCTAAATTAAATCTACCGTATATAACATCACATCACCAGAACAGGTATTACTTGATTTAATAAAAACTTAAGCATACACAAATTTATATTAGAAGATCAAGAAATATGGAAATGTTTCAGCTTGAAAAATAAACATTTTTATAGAAGTATTTACCAATTTTTTTTAAAAAAAGACTTAATATGTTTAAAATGTACTTTGAGTTTCAAAATAGATTGTCTGTTTTTTAAAAGAGGTTTTTGCCTTAGGGCACATGGCTAGAGAGAGAGAGGGACAGAGATAGTGAGAGGGAAAGTGAGAAATCACCCCCAAGGGGGATGGCCTTGCCACAATCCCTTCTCCTCCATTCTCCTCCCAAGATCTTGGGCACTCATGCACATGCACCCCGCATGATTTTCAAGCCACCGCCTCTGGGACTCAAACCATAGTTGGCCATGTGGGACTCCAGCACATAACCGCTATGCCATCTGCTGGCCCCTTGTCTATCTTTTAAGAAAGGAATTCAGATAATTAAAGATGTACAACTGGAAAATCGGAGGTCATACAAAATTATTACATGTTTCTTTTCCTCTAGTATCTTTATCATACTAAGAGATATGACTTGATTTGTACTTTAATTTAAATAGAGAAATATGCTAACTCATTACCTGTAGCTCAAGGTATATCAATACTTTAGTTCATTACAAAACTGAAAATTTAGAGCTCACATTTAATCTTCATCATGTCAAAATAAAATAGTTATATTATTCATTTGCACTTTCTGTTTTAGTAAAACACCTTTTAAATTATTTATTTATTCATTCATTTATTTACTTATTTAATTTGCTATAGGGCACATGCACTTATCAGAGAGAGACAAAGAGAGAGGGAGGGGACGTGAGAGAGCAAGCTGCCAGGTCCAGGACTTGAACTGCGGTTGGCCATGTGGGAGTCCAACACCTTAACTACTACACCACCTGCTGGTCCCTGTAAAACACTTTTAATGTCATTGAATTCTTGATACACCAAACATATTAGAATTTGAAGAGTCACTTTATTCCCCCTTATTATGGTAATAATATCAGCACACTTGAACGAGAGAGAGAAAGATGACCACCCTCCACAGGGTCTCGTCATGCTGAGATCCCTTCTTCCGGCCCTCCGGCCCATTGGGTCTTGGACAGTAGTGCACATACCTGACATATTTCAGACTAACTGGGCTGGACATTCAGACTGCAGTCACCATGAGGGCTCCAGCTTCTCTTGAACGGTGCATCACCCTTGTGCGATGGAGCTAGCTAGTCTGAGAGCCCTTTGTCTTATTTTCACTTTGCCTTGATGAGATATATGGGTCTGACCAAAGAAATATTTTCAACTCAGCTCAAGTGCAATATTTCTACATGTTTTTGTTGTTCTAACTTCATATTCCT